GATATTGTATATACTATCCTTAAACCAATCACAAAACTCAAGTTCTTTTCTTTAGTAGAAAAATCTGAAAGGAGACAGAACTTAGACTTAGGTTTTGTTTTCCAAAGGGCATTAACAATTTCAGGAGCTTTAGAAAAAATTTTGCCTGGGAACATAAATACTGGGAGCCTAATGCAGAGCTTTACCTAGTTGACGGCAATAAAGACAGAGATATGTTGTGAGGGCTATAAATTCAAAACCATATTAAAAGAACATGTCAGGTTCTCAGTCTAGTAACAGTTCCAACTTTGATACATTCTTTAGAAAAAAAAAACAAGTGTTAAAACAAGGAATGAAAAATTCTTTAATAACTTAGCTTAGACATTTAATCTTTTCAAGAGTATAATAAAACCATAGTATTCTTATATGTTTACTTCAATGTTTCAGCAGGCAGCTCTAAAAGGACAAAAAAAACTTTCTAAGCAATGACTGGAATGCAAACATTCACTGAAAGCAAAACTTCTGTACATTAATCTCTATACACACATGTAGACATATGATGTATGTATATATAAAATTTTTTTAAAGTAACAGTTAATAAAGCAATAAAATTATATCACCATTTTGCAACTTGTAATAAATTAATGGATCTCAGCATGATTACCAATGGCTGCTAACATCATGAAAAAAGAATTAGCCCTTATGTGTACTGTCAACCCTGCCCCTCAAAAATACCCTGAATGTGATCAAGCTTCTAGATCCAACTATCAACTTATAGAAAATAGAGATGATCAAACAACATATTAAATTACATACAGAGCAGCAAAATCCATACTGTGGGAAACTGAGCAGGAATAATGACCTGGTTTCTTCACCAGGCGCATGCCTATAGTCCCAGCTACTCGGGAGGCTGAGGCAGAAGGATTGCTTGAGCCCAGGAGTTTGAGGTTGCTGTGAGCTAGGCTGACACCACTGAACTCTAGCCTGGGCAACAGAGTGAGACTCTGTTTCAAGAAAAAAAAATACAAATATACTTCAATTCTCAGAAAGTGTAGTTTACTTCTGACATTTAAGCAAGTATTCTGATAATACAAGTCCGTTTCTGATTGCTGTTTATAGTGATTACTGAAGGCTTGCAGAGTTGAGTAAATCTCCACCAAAATATATTTAGGTTCTTTATGATCATTAACTATATAGTATAAGAATTGTTTTGATTAAAGGACATCAGGTAGTACTATAGAGTTTCACTTCTTTTTTTTTTTTAAAAAAAATCTTATCCTTTTGTTGTTAACAAAAGCAGATACAGTATGAGCAGCACTCTGGGAGTAACAACCTGGCAAACATTGTCTGTCTAGATCAACTTTCACACTGGAATCCAGTCAAAAACTTACAACAACCAGGGGAAAGCTTAATCAAGAAGCTACTGTGTTGTGGTAAGGGAACAATGTGGTGTTTTCAATTGTCCACCTACTGTCCCCTACTCCCCAGACTGGCTGTGACAGTGAAGACAGCAGCCTGTACTCTTGGTATAGTTGCCGCCTGAGGAAGCAACACAGACCTTACTCTCGCAGAAATGTGCTTGTTTCAACATCTAGCACAATGGCTTGTCTTCATTTCACCTGTCTTAGAGAGTTCCCGGAGCTGGACTGCTTTCCAGTCAGCATTTGCTGAAAATATTTTAAAGGCAAAAGTACTGGCTTCAGCAGCCTAGGGCAAGGGATAATAGGGCAAGCAATAAGCAGACTGAAAGGCCTGGGAAGGAAGAGGTTGAGAAAGGAAATAGGTGGGATAATAACGGCTTTTAAAAGCTCTTGTGTATAGCAATCAAATTAGGAAGACCAACACGTGGCCGAGGTTGGATGCATGCTCAGGAAAGGCCTGGGAAACCCTCAACTTTCACCTCAGGCTCTGTCTGCACAAGCAGGAGGTGAAGGTGAAGGCGGAGTAGTTAAGACCTGGCTCAGCTTGAAGGAATGCTCCAAAAGCAAGCCAAGCAGCCATCTGGAGAAAGAGTATGCTATTTACATGAAACAGCTCACACAAAGGTCCTACAGTGGAATAATGCCTGGCATGTTTGACAAGCAACAAGGCAGCCAATGGTTTGAGTGCAGTGAAGAAAGGGAAGAGCAAGCGAAGACAGGGTCAGAAAAATAATGAAGGGGCAGATCATGTAGGGTTTTATAGGCTGTTACAAGAACTATGGTTTTTTCCAATAGTGAAATGAAGAACCATCAGAGGATTTTGAGCAAAGGAATGATATGATTTGACTTGTTTAAAAAGGTCTATTTTGGCCTAGGTGTGGTGGCTCACACTTGTAATCCTAGCACTTTGGGAGGGTGAGGCAAGAGGATCACTTGAGCCCACGAGTTTGAGGTAGAAGAAGGAAGACCAGTTAGGGGGCTCCTTGGAAATCCACTTAAGATATGATGATGACTTGGTAAGATGTTAGTAGTGGTGGGTTTGGGGGGTGGGGAAGAGTTTTAAATTGGCATATCTTTTGAAGGTAGAATCAACAGAATTTTCTGATGGAGAAAAGGGTATGAGAGAAAGAGACAGAAAGGACCCAACTACCATTAACAGAGATAAAGAAACTATAAGAAGAGCAGATCTGCAATTAAAAAAAAGAGAAGTTCAATTTTGTACAATTCGAGTTTGAGATGTTTCATTGACATCTAAGAGAAATGCTGATTAGGTAACTGGACATAGGAGTCTGAAGTGTGTAGGAAATGATATCTGGGCTAAAGATACAAATTTGGGAGTTTCAGTATATAGATAGTATTTAAAGCCATAAAAGTGAATGAGATCACCAAGTGCACACTGAGGGGAAAAGAGATCAAAAAATGAGTCCCAGTGGAGCCCCAATCTTAAGAGGTTGAGAAGACTAAACAGAACAAGCAAAGGAAACTAAGGAGGAACAGCTAGTGAGGGAAGAGAAAGAGGAAAAGATCTACTGGGTCAAATGCTGCTGTAAAATAGAACAGATTACATCATCATCTTTTTACACAAACAGAAATTAAAGCTCAGAAATATTAAGCAAGTTTGTCTTAGGTATGTTGCTTGTCTTGTTTGATGACCAGAGTCATAGCCATCAGGCTAGAAACAGAGTTTCAGGAGTTTTTTTTTTCAAGTTGATGGAAACTATAATAAAAGTAAACGGAGGGGAAAAATGAGGAAGATGAAGTCAACTGAGGACACTGGGGGGTGGGGTGGGAATCTACATATTAAGGGAGTATATAAGAGTCAGGAAAGATTCTACAAGAAAGACACAGAACCCAGATGGGGCATATTTGAAGCCAAAAGAGAATCAGTTTAAGGAGAAATGCTTAGTTAATACTACTGAATATTGCATAAAATCAACAACCAGTATTAATTAGTGACTTTCCAAGCATTGTAGTAGAATGTTGGGAACAAAAATATGATTATAAGGGTTACAGACTATGCGTGGTAAGAAGAGAAAAAGACAGGTAATACTTTTAAAAAGTTTGTTAATGAAGGAAAGAGACTTATGGTATAAGAAAGGTCTTCTTTTTCATTATCTGAAAACCTGAGCATTCTGCCAGAAAGATGTTAGAGGTGAAGGAGTGAATATTCAAGGCACAAATTCTACGTGAGAAAAAGAAAGTACCTTACTCAGCAAGATTGCAAAGGAGATTATATCTATATATATTAAAGAGTTAGGATCAAGAACCTAACTGAAGTCAGTCGTGGAAAAGAATGATAATTTAATCCCAAGGAATGACAGGATCAATGAAAAGAAAGACATTTTGAGGAGCAGACAGTGAAAGGTGGTGGAGCTTGTATCAGATTTATTTTTCATTAAAATAAAATGTTAAAGTTATTCGGGACAGTGAGTGAAGGAGTCTAAGGAGAACAGATTAAGTTTGGAATAGCTATTCTTACAGTTTTAGCTCTTTCACTGATCTGGTCAAAGAAATGAATTAGAAAGCTGAATAAAAAAGTGGCTGAGAAATATTTGCACTGTGGGTCCTGCTGAAGTTAGCTAGTATTAGTTCTACCATGTCTCTATTACAGTTATCAATATACTTGTTTGCATCCACCATAAAATTATAAATTACATGAGGGCAGAAAATGTTTATCTCATTCATTACTGTACTTCCATAAGCATATGGCACTTAGTAAATACTTCACAAATGAGTGATTATGTAATGGATACAATCCCCATAATGGTAAAAATTCCTTAATGGTTAGTCTTTGATAGATATTATAAGGAGAAGTAAAAAAAAAAAAAGTCCTTGGCTGTTTAAGTTGTCTTCCTAGACCTATAAGAGACATTAGACTGCCCTTGCAGGTCAAACATAGAATCTGTTCAATAAACTTAAAAGGCATCAGGGAGAAAATTCAGTATCTTAGAAAAAATGCCCCAAATAGGTTTTTTGGTTATAGTTAGAGGCTAAATCTGACCTTTAAGCTACTTTAGTAAGAGCTAATTTATCTTAAGTTTTTGGGGAGTGAAATATTCTACACAAATGAAGTTTCTAGATATTTGAAATCTTACTCTAACACTAAGAATCATACTTTTATATTTATTATCATTTTTGGATGGAAATGATAATACATTTCGTATTTCCTGGCATCCAAAACATAGTTAAACAAAGATGATTTAGCCTTTTCTTAAATACATAGACATCATCACTATGCTATCAATTATACCACATAAGTCTGTGGAGGGCTGAGTTACATAAGGGCTACAAGCCTCTACTCTGCATAGGCCTGTATGTTTGTACTTTTACATTCTTTTTTTTTGTTTTTGAGACAGAGTCTCAACTCTGTTACCTGGGCTAGAGTGCCGTGGCATCAGCCTAACTCACAGCAACCTCAAACTCCTGTGCTTAAGTGATCCTACTGTCTCAGCCTCCCGAGTAGCTGGGACTACAAGCATGTGCCACCATGCCCGGCTAATATATATTTATTTATTTATTTTAGCTGTCCAGCTAATTTCTTTCCATTTTTAGTAGAGACGTGGTCTTGCTCTTACTCAGACAGGTCTCGAACTCCTGAGCTCAAAGAATCCTCCTGCCTCGGCCTCCCAGAGGGCAGTGTACTTTTAAATTCTTGATTTGTTTTTTTCAGTTGACCCTGCTTGCTATTGTCAAAGTGCTTGTTCACCTTTTGTTACTCTAATCTGGATTAGGCAGGGAAACATGTTTGTTAAAACTGCCTCAAGTGAATTTATCACTGAACATTCTTTTGTACTATTTAGATTTATTGCCATGTGCAAATGCTACTTTCATTAAAGAGGGGGGACAGGCCAAGGTTGTGTGTGTGTATGGAGAGTAAAAAGACTTGAAGTGGGTATTTACATACTACCTTCTACTTAAATTGCACAGGATTTTTAGAGCACAGTTTTAATTATTTGCCAACTCAGACTCACTTAATCTTTTATATAATTATTTATTTATTATTATTTTGCTTTCTTTCTGATTCTCAACTATGTTTCCAGTAACTTGAGATTGCCAAATAAGTAGTTATCCTAGTTAGTTATTATGTTTCTTAGTCATTAAACCAATCTGAAAATGCAAAATACCAAGTACCAATCTTAATTATTCTTATATGTTGAGGAAAAATAAAATGAGTGAATATGAGTGAAAGGGTTATACTGGCAAAGCATTGCAGTAACAATGTTTGGGGTTTTTATAATATTCTTCAAGAGTATTTTAAAAGTTTAAGGATAAACACAAACCAGTAAAGGCTTATTTCATACAAGTCTTTTCACTGGATATAATACTGTTGCTATCTTCAATCTGACATTATTTGTTTTGCAGACCTCTACCTGCATAAGCACAGATATCAAATTGTGATTCAGAGCAAAGCAGTATTTTAAAATATTTTCATATTCCTGAATAGAAATTCTGGCACATTAAAATATAGCTGATTACTCTTGAGTATTATTTCATTTATTTGCACCTAGAATGCTTAGCAAGTAATTTTTTCTAAAATATTGAATTTTAATTTGAAAAAAGCAGCAAATACCAAATAAAACCTGAAGTGCTCAGCAGAACTGAACTAAATATTTTCTAATAGCTTTCAACACAAGGAATATAAATTTGAAACAAAAAAGGGGCACAAATACCAACACAGATCAATAATATTAATGATTTTAAAATATGAGTTATCTATAGTGATCTTTTAAAAAGGTAACCTTGAGAATGCTGAAGTTCTAATACTAAGCTAGTCTTACAGTTTAGAAAAAATATAAATAGCATAACTATTAAGATTTATATACCAGTTTTCTGAAATAAGGCAAAAATGTTTTCACTGCATATAATATACTTTTTCCACTGTAAAATCTGTGAAAAAATAGCTGCCAGTGAACCAGCCCCTAAACCCAGAGCCCATCTGTTTACAAATAAGCAGTGAAAAGTTTCTGCTAAAACCTATGTATACATGTAGAATTCAGACTTTTCCATGCTCTTCTATATAAGGTTGCAACCAGAGAAAATTAATGGTGTTCCACAGCAAAGGCATAAAAGCTGGATGAGAATCTTGTTTCACTACTAGAAATCAAAACTGTGGAAACCACTGTATGGCTAACAGCACAGAATCTTTATATTAATAGAATGAAAGCTCTAGAATCTCTAGATTGTATCTTATTCTTTCTCAAATGGGAAAAATAGTCCAGGCTTAATCTCAAACAAAACTATCTTAAGCTAAGACGACAGAGTTTATTACAGTCCCTTCCCAGTATCAAAGAGAACTCTTAAGAATATAACTTGAATAAGGGTCATGAACTGGTTCAACACACTTAACAGTGGTTTATGAATTACAATGAATGTTGCTACTTTCTAAAAATGAATGTATTAAAGAGGAAATAACCTCCTTGGCATGCTTACAGCTATACAACACATTTGTTTCACTGCTTTCAAGCGCCAGTGCTAGAGGCTCAGAATAAGTCAATGGGAGGAGGATTTGAGTCACAGAAGCAAGCAGGTCTACAGAACGGATAAGAAGACACGCTCAGGAAAGTAACAAGCAAATGAAACGTAAGTATTTAACACATACATACAGAATTAATCTACAGGTATTTTTTTAATCTTTGAGAACTCTGCTACCATAATCCTTCATTTCTATTCAGTGTTTTAAAAACGAAAATGAAAATTTACTAATGCTAAAGGGGAGATTTTTAATATGAGATTTATAATTTTATGAACAAATGGTTTAATCTTCCTCTCAGTTTCCCCTCCTTCCCAAGGGAAGTGGGAAGGTTAAGAAAAAAAATTACTAATTAAAAAAAGAAATGGTTCAAATTTGGCAAATTTAGTGATTAACTTCAGAAAGTGTTTGTTGCACAAACATGCTATGAGAGATGAAATTACTAAAAACAACCATTTGGATCCTAGTAATATCTACTTTTTTCTTCTCTCAAACTGAAGAAATTCCAACATGCTTTATAAAAATGGAATTTATATCAGTACTAAGACAAACCTGATCAGACAAAACCAAGTATATAAGAATTTCTAGCTGGTAAATTATTTGGACATTAGTTAGGCTTGTAGTATTTCTAGGTGGGTGGCTAGTATGTAATTGAAAGCTCTATTCTGAACTATTTAATGCTTTGACTTTTCTATTTTTCCGCACGTAAGGGTAAAAAGACATTCAAAGGTCAGGAAACACCTATCTTTTTATTATAACCATTGAAAAAGTTAATGTTTCTTCTAATTCATTAATTGAGGAACATCTGGAACATAACATTTTTGGGGATTTGGCTGCATTGTGACAAATGTACAACAGATCTATTGAGAAGGGAGGGGCTACTAAATTCAAGTGTTTTTACTGATTTTTGGAAATAAAATAACGCAATCTACATATTTTGTATCTGGGAGAACTCTCTGGTTTTCAAGTTCAAAAATGACTCTATAACTACAGCTAAATAAAAAAGACAGAGAGAGAGAAACTAATAAATAGCTTATTTTTTTTCCACAGCTATCAGTTTCTTTCACTGAGCCTTCTGAAATCTAAGCCTCTAGAAAATACTAACTACCTGGAGGTCTTACCTACAAACATGGACAAACATACTCTCATTTTAGAAAACTGGGATTTTTTTTTTTTAAAGGAAGGAGTCAACTTTGGCTTTGAGTGTTTGGCATAGGTACAATGCCTTATAAAAGCAGATGACTAGCTTAGCTACTGACCATGCTGATGACCACTATCCGGAACTGGATCCAACTACAGAAAAACAGCAAATGGCTCTCTCTTATAGAATGTCTGAACAAAGCACGGTTCCTGAGCACATTTTGCAGAGGACATTGGATCACTTAATTTCTTCTAACCGTTCTGGATTACAGACAGAATCAATACCAGAGGAAATGAAACAGATTGTTGAGGAAGAGGGAAATAAACTGCACTGGGCAGCTCTTCTGATACTCATGGTGATAATACCCACAATAGGTGGGAACATCCTTGTTATTCTGGCTGTTTCACTGGAGAAAAAGCTGCAATATGCTACCAATTACTTTCTAATGTCCCTGGCAGTGGCTGATTTGCTGGTTGGATTGTTTGTGATGCCGATTGCCCTCTTGACAATAATGTTTGGTAAGTATTTCACTCTGTTCCTGCCGTCAAACAGAACTATGATACACTGTTAGAGAAGTGGACACTCATTTAATCTGTATTTTCCCTGAAATAAAAGATGGACTATTTAAAGGTATAGCAAGTAAACAGTCCTTCATTTCTCACCATTTTTTACGGTTGATCATCAGTTTTAAAGAGCAAAAAATAATTTCTTGGAAACAATTTTACTCCCTCCTAAGCCATCTAATATAATCACTTAAAAAGCCATTCAAGTTAGCAATAGTTATAGATTCTGCATACATTACCTAAAAACTATAATGAATAGACTACACTTTAACTTTTCTTTATCAACACTTTGGGAACTGTTCTAAAAATTTTTGTTATATCTCTTAATAGTTTGTTTACTTTAAACTTGAACACAATTCCTATATGTGTCGTGTTAAGACGAACTGTTTAGTTGTTGAAAGAAATGGTCTGGCTTAGAGTTTCCCAAGAGATAATCCATCTGTTTGATTTTTTAAAATTATCTGACCATCTGTGTTCTTGATAGAATCTCTAAGTTAATAAAATAAGTCAACTCAAACCTACGTTATTATAATAAAAATGTGGCTTGATATTGAAATCTCAGTTTGTTATAATAGAGAAAGGATAGCGATATTAAAAGACATTAATTAGTTTCTGATTTATGCACATCATATGGAGTTATAAAATTTGGGTAAATGCAAACAATCCTGCTGATCAATCATAAGGGCTCCTAGACCCCTGGAATCAGCATTAGATGTTTAACTTATTCAATGCTTGGTGTAAAACTGATACTTCATTCATAAACTGCTTAAGAAAAATGATTATTTGTAGCATGTATGGTTTCTTAGGATTAAACTTACTTATATGATAAGAATAAAAATATTTTAAGCTATAGAAATAAAATTTATTAAACTAGAATGCATATTAGGTGAAGAAAAACTACTAGTCCATCTATTATACCCAGATTTAAAATGTTACTTTTTTATAATAGAAAAATATCTAAAATTAAGTACTTGTTGTCTTAAATACAATCAGATGGTAACAAGTTTAAACTTCTCAGTCTAAATCAACATTTACTAGTCTTTTAAATAAATCAAGAAAATTCTATGGCAGGACAAGCAGCAATGAATAAGGTTCTATTGCTTTAATTAAACTTTCTAATCATAATATTATCTTTTTTATCTATGCTCCTCCTTTTTATCTATTTGTAATCTTTTGAATAATCTAATGCTACATGTAACCTTGAGAAATAATTAAGAAATCTTACACTAAGAGAACATAAATAGCCTTAATTCCGAAAAAAGTAAAAAAAAAAAAAAAAAGATTATGAACAACTATATATACATATTTGATAAAGACTGTACAGGCATATGATATGATCTCTCATCTGCAAGCACACAATAGTAGCTTAAAATGTAAAATCATACTCTTCCACTGTTTAGCTAGGCATACAGAAAATGTCAAACTGCTTATCTCATACTGCTATAAAATTTAATTGATATGTTGAATAAATAAAATTGAAGGAGTTATGCAGAAGTGAATTTTAACTTTAAAATCTCTGAGTTCATAAGTATCAAACATCTATATATATGTAAAATACAGTGACAGGTACTTAAATTATCAGCTAAATAGTAAAGAAATATTAAAAGGCAAAGTTCCATAGTATTAAAGTGAGCTAACAAAATACAAAAACAGATAACAAAGATAATTCCAAGTATTCTATAGGAAAACAGTAGGTTTTCCAGCAGCTGAAAATTTTAAGTTTATATTTAAAATCTTGGTACCCAAAATATTCTTAGCAATAAAAGCAGAAAATCCAACATATGTTAACACAAAATATATAAAATATCTTCATATTTGTGTATTAAATAACTATGACAGATATTTTAAGAGTATTTCATTCTTTCAAATGTTTGTTAGATTTTAATATTTATTTATTTTAATAGAGACAAGGTCTCACTGTTGCTCAGGCTGGCCTCAAACTCGTGGGCTCAAGTGATCCTTCTGCCTCAGCTTCCTTAGCAGCTGGGATCACAAGTGTGTGTCATGTGCTTGGCTCATATATTTGTTAATTTTTAATTACAAAATAAAATCTTTCATAGCCCTAAACACTTTTACTATCAGTAATTAAGTTGTACAGTGGGGTTAACAGACTTTTAAAAAATAAACTAACCTGGTAACCACTATTTAAAACATTATTGAATTAATTCATTATTTAAAATATAATTCTCTTTCTATGAGAAAGTATAAGAAAAAAATGCATGTTGCCCTCTAAAAAGCTTCAAAGGATGAATTCATAAATTAGGCACTGCACATATTACAAATAGGGACCTGGCTTCGAATACTAAGTATTTTTATAACCTTTTATATGTTGATAAATACTTTTTAAACTAATGCATTTAGAAGAACTTCTGATAACTTTAAAAGGCAGAAGTAGACTTTGTATATTTTTCTCTTATTATACGGATAATCTTCAGGACTTTTGAAGTCTGTACAAACAAATGTCCCTGATTTTGTATCATAAAAGATTAACTATCATATCACTATGAGCAATTTTAGCCATCTCAGGGAAGGTTAATGAAAGTAACACAAAAATTTTACACCAGCTAGTATTCTAATAAAATTAAGTTTAAAAAAGGAGAGCAGGAAAATAAAAGTGGCTCCTGCACCCTTATACTGAGGAATATTTTATTCAACTATTGATTTGTATAATATTTAATTATATATTGTTTAAATTTCTATTTTATCAAGATTGTGACAGCTTGGCCACAACATTGTCTTTCAAATGATTTGAACTTTTCTACCACTTCTTCCTATCTGGGAGCGCTGGACTTGATCTTCGTAGTTCTAGTTTTTTACTGTCTTGCCTATAATTTCTAAAATCCATGATCACAGATCAGTAGCTTGAAAATGTCTATATTAGAAATACTTGAGTAGGAAGAAAACAGAACAAAGTATGCTGGTATAAAAAAGACAACATTTTAACCATTTAAGAGTTTCTCTCAACTTTTCCTTCTTTCAGTTTATAAATGATTTAAAAAGCAAAGGGATGAATCTTGATTGTATTGACCAAAAAAAAAAAAAGCCAAAAAAATTCCATTGAGCATTATTGGCTTTATATTATAAGTTTTAATTCATGCCTCATGATCTATATAAACAGCATCTGCGGTATAGTTGAAACAGTGTGTGTAAAATGGCTGAAAGACGGGCATTTGAAGCAAGACATCCCAGGGTTTGAATCCTGGTTCTCCTGTGCTGACTCAGTCAAGTCACTTGTATCTCAAATATCTCAGAGTTCAACCACATTGTCAAGTATGGCCAAGCATGGTATAGGCACTAATAACTGGTAGATATTAATATAGTTAGCTATTAGTATAGATTAAAGATGTGATTTAGCTGAAATTAGTCTAATCAGAAATAAAACAGATATATAACAGTAAAAGAAAAAAGTCAGTTATTCATTTTTGCGGTGAAATGCTGCTCTATCCAATTGTGAAATGAGGGAGAAAAGCAATTAAAGCCACTTCTTTTTGAAAAGGGGAAATGTAAAAAAATCAGGGAAAAATTTACATAAGTATTAAATTACTTAAAACACTATCATATTAGACATCTAACCCCAGGATAACTCATATGCACAAATATAGTCGAAAAACAATAACAAACAAAACAGAAACTTTATAACAATAATTTAAACACTGAACTATGTCTCTTTTTTCTAGAAGCTAAAGATAGAGAAGCATTAGAATTTCTGAGATTAAAAAACGTGTATTTTAGAACTATGTTCTTTTTGGACATTTAGAGTTATTTAGGATTTTTCCTGCTCCAATAAGTTCATGAACTATGTATCTGTATGAACTCTTATAGGAACAGCTCTCTTAGAATGGCTTTAAATATAGCCTTTTAAATCCGCAAAAGGGAAATATTTTATGCCTTAGACTTACAGATCAATGTTAATTATTTTCTGAATAAATGGCATAATTTGGCTTTCCAAATTAAAAACTTGCCTAAAGTGTAAGCAGGTTTCAGATAAAATGAGTCTCTTTCATCAAGAGATGGAGTTTCTGGTTGAAAACCTCAGGTTTTTATACTTATTAAAAAGAAAGCAAAAAAAGAAAACAAACCCAAAAAACACCAAAAACCTAGGCATGGCCCAATCTGCAATACATACAAGTTATTTTTATGTGCCATATATAAAATAAATAGCAGTTAAAATTCAACTTTAGTAAAAGACATAATTCCATAAAAAATTTAACTCAAAATTAAACAGAGTTAAACACGTCTCACCGCCCCCCCCTCCTCCCTAAGTACAGCTTTAAATTCAGTCAGATGTACACACTGTTGCCACAGTAGGCAGAACGACAAGCATACATATATTGATGATTTGGCTTATCATTTCTAAGTAGGAGTGTTTCCATGGTTGGGTTAGTTGGCCAACTTCTGTCAAACAGCAAGAGTAATAAGCACTAACATTAATTGAATGTTTTCTTCTCTATGCCAGACACTGTTCTAAACACTTCACATGTATTTAATTGTCATCCCTATAAAGTACCCTATAAAATGAGTATTATTATCCCCATTTTACAGAGGACATAGGAGCAGAGGGATAAGTAATTTGTCCAAGGTTACAAAATAAGTGGCAGAGACATGATTTTAACCCAGAACTGATTCTAGAATTAACACTCTTAAACTCTATTACTATGGCTTTCTAAAATGCAAACGACAAATTCTACCATATTTAGCATACAGAGCCAACATTTATATCTTATATAACTCCATGTAACTCTTAAGAGAGCCATAGAATTTTTTTTCTAGGGACAAAGCAAATCTCAGGTTTGTTTTTTTGTTTAAAGTTATATTTCATTTTAAGTGGTACAGAATACTTGATTCTTTTTTTTTTTTTTTGGAGATAGAGTTTCACTCTGTCACCTAGCCTAGCTAACACCAGCCTCAAACTCCTGGGCTCAAGCGATCCTCCTGCCTTAGCCTCCATAGTAGCT